TAGCATAGCAGCAGCAGCAATAGTGGATGCGGTGCTGCGCTATGTTATGCTATGCTATGCTATGCTATGCTATGCTATGCTATGCTATGCTATGCTGCGCAATGCTAGGCTAGGCTAGGCTAGGCTATGCTATGCTATGACATGCTGCGCTATGCTATGCTTCGCTATGCTAATGCTATGCTATGCTATGCTATGCTTTGCTATGCTATTCGTTTGCTTTGCCTTCGCTTTCGCCTTCACTTTTGCCCTTGCTGTTGCTTTTGTTTGGCACCCAGAGAGCGCAACTGGGGGAACCGCGCGTTTGCTTTTACCTTTGCTGTTGCTTTTGCTCGTGTCCCAGGGGACGGGGGGAACCGCCCGGGGCGCGTTGCACTGCCCGGCCCCTTTAAGCCAACAGAGTAGGAACCTTTCTAGGCAGAGCCTGGGTAGGGAACGAATATGCTATGCTGTGCTCTGCTTTGCTAAAGCTCAGCGAAGCTAAGATGAAGGTAAGCTAAGCTAAGATAAAACTGAGCTCATATGAAGCTAAGCTAAGCGAAGACGAAATAGGCTAAGCCAAGATGAGATAAGCAACGCCAAGCTAAGGGGACGTAACTGGGGGAACCGCGGGGCGGATACTTGGGGAACCGCCCGGGGCGGTATGCACTGCCCGGCCCCTTTAGGAAAGAGAGTGAGAACCCTACAGGCAGAGCCTAGGTAGGGAATAACTGTTCCTCGTCGCACCCTGAGGCCAGTTGAAAGGGCGGACCGGGCGTTTCGCCTGAGAGTTCTCACCACTCATGACCCTGAAGCTTCAAATTTGGCAGTAGTTGAACAGATGGAGGGCGGGTCGTTTTCAAAAGGTGGATCTCGCCTTAGCTTCGCGCGCATTCGTTTAACAAGATTGCAAGAGCTTCACGGATTGAGGGCGGGTGGTATTCAAAAGGTAGCTCTCGCCTTAGCGCCTCGCACAATCGCTTTCAGCATTTGTAAGAGTTTCGCGGATTCACATGTTTAACGTACCAGAGATGGTTTTGGAAAGACTCATGATTTCGAGGGTGCAACAGTTTCTTTGGTTCGTGGTGCTGAAGTCCCAGGAATGGCGTGATCGTAGAGACGCAATAATCAGGTTGATCCGCGGCGTTGGAGTCTCTAGAGTAATGCTGTGGCACGCTTCCAGCTCTTCAAATGGTTGTCTTCCAACGAGGCAGTTCTTTCAGTGGAATTGAATCGTTGTAGGGGCTCATGACGAGGGAGATTGGAAAGAGGGTTTACTCCAACATCGTTGATCACTCTTGGGTTTGCACCAGTCCTCTTCCTGCTCCTCCTCCCCTTCCTCCTCCTCCTCCTCCTCCTCCTCCTCCTCCTTCATCCCACCTCCGCCTCCTTCCTCCTCCTTCCTCCTCCTCATCCTACTCCTCCTCCTCTCCTCCTCCTCCTCTCTCTCCTCCTCTCCTCCTCCTCCTCCTCCTCCTCCTCCTACCTCCTCCTCCTCCTCTCTCATCCTTCTCTCCTTCTCCTCTTCCTCCTCCTCCTCCTCCTCCTCCTCCTGCTCTCTGCTTTGTTGTTGATTGCCGCCAGCCGTGAGGTATATCTCTCTCTCTATATATATATAGAGAGAGAGAGAGAGAGAGAGAGAGAGAGCCCAACTCCGCTGCCGTTTAGGCATTTCGGTTTCGCGCTGAAGGCCTTGCCGCCAGTGCAGGCCGTGGTGACCGGAGGCGCTGGCGCGCGACGTGGCGCAGGCGGTCACCACCTCCCTGGTGGTCCGCGCCTGCGTGCAGTCGTGCCCCGACCGCCTCTGTTCCCAGTCCTTGTCGTGCCCGCCGCTGACCTCTTGCTTCTGCACAAGCGGTGGGGGCGAGGTCGGGCCGGCGGACCACGAGGCCTTCTCATTCGAAGTCTTGGCGTTGGTGGCCAGCGCCTGCCTCCTCGCGAGGGTCGCGGCGGGGGCTGCGTGAGCCCTCCGGGCGACGCGCCCGAGGGAGGCCGCGCCCGCGCGGACGGCCGCGCCCAGACCTTGCCGGGGACCGAGGCAGCGGCCGCGCTGGCGCCTCGTGCCGCGGCGGCTCCCCGCCGCCGAGGCGCCCGTGCAGGGATCGCTCGAGGACGTGCAGGCGCTTGCCGCGGCCCAGGCTATAGGGCCAAGGCCTTCCGGCGCCCAGTCCCCTCGTCTCCGTGATGGCGGCCGCGGGTGCTGCCGGCAGCTGGCGCCTCACCCGCTACAATGTGGGTGGCGTGGCGGTGTACCACGAGAGGCTGACGCTCTTCCCGACGGGGTACGTGCTGACGCCCGACTTGGGCGACTACGAAGAGAGCATGGTGCCCGACGCCGACATCCGCAGCATCCAGCCGATCGCGGGGCAGAGCGGGCGCATCGGTGGCATGGTCGAGGGCCCGGCCCACGTTTCCGTCGGCTGCCCACGCCGGCGGAGCTGTGAGCGGCGCTGCGCAGGACATCCTCCAGTCGTGGAATCGCCCGCTTGGCCCCCGCGGCGCGCGGCGCTTGCCGCATGACCACGAGATGGTCGACCACCTTCGCTGCCTGGATGGATCGCGAGCGCTTGAGCGGGAAGCTGGCGCAGCGGGGCACCAAGGCGCTGGCGGCGGTCAAGTTCTCCCGGCCCCAGTTCACGGCGCGGGCTGGCAGTCTCTCGTTGCCCCGTGCCACGCAGGCTTTGATGGGGTGGAAGCGGCTCGCCCCTGGGCGGGCCAGGCTGCCGCTTCCCTGGGAGGTCGCCGCGCTGGCCATGCAGCTGCCGGGCGCGGGCTTCTGAGCGATGGCCGCCTGGGCCGCCATCGCGTTCCATTGCTGCCTCGGGCCGAGCGACCTGGGCAGGGTGACGGGGGGCATGGCCCTTCCGCCGACGCCTGGGAGCAGCAAGACGAGGGAGTTCGACGAGACGGTGGTGTTCGATTTGTCCTCAGCAGCGCCCTCGCCAGCGTCGAGAGGCCCACGCCGCCCAGTCAGCCCATCCTCGCCTTTGCGCACGGGGACCTCGTCCAGAACTTCAAGCCACGACCGCGCGCGCCAGCTCCGCTCGCTCCAGGAGACCAAGCTGCGCGGCAGGTGGCACTGCGACCCGAGCGCGCGCCGGCACCAGAAGGAGGGCCGCGTGGGCGAGAAGCTGTGGAGGCTGCTGGCCGCGGCCAAGGCGCGCGCGCGCCCAGCGCGGACTTGGCCCTGCAGGCGGCCATCGCGAGGCCTCTGGTCGCGCCCTGGCCTCCAGGGGCGCCTGCCTCGTCCAGCCGCAGGTCTTTCCACAGCTGTTCAGCGGGCGCGGAGGCTTGTCCAAGGGCGCCGCGGGCCAAGGGCTTCGTCGTGCTGGAGTGGGATCGCTCGAGAGGGCCGCTGCGGGATCCGACTTGCCGAGCGAATCAGAAAGTGGCGCGAAGCTGGATACTGGCGGGGCTGGCGTAGGGCGTGTTCATGGGCGCGCCGTGCGAGACCTGGACCAGGGCGCGGGACGCCGGGCTTCTTCTAGATCCTGACAACCCCCATCCCTGTCTGCCCTCTAGACTTCGCAGCGGCCAGCATCTGATGGGCCTCCCAGAGCTGCGACACCCAGCAGACCAGGAAGCGGTGATGCTCAGTCTTCTCACTGCTTTCAGTCGCAGCCTTCTTGAGTTGATGCGTGTTGTTACCTTGCCTGTTGCAATCGAGAATCCAGCCCGCTCTCGCTTGTGGAACCTTCCTCGCCTTTTGAAGGCTCGTAGTTGGGCCTTCGCCTCGCACGTCGTCACAGATCTGTGCCAGCGGGGAACGCCCTGGAAGAAGCCTGCGGGCATCCTCGGTGATCGGTTGCATCTCACTTGTCTTGCTTGCAGGTGCCACGGGAAAGTGTATAGTCGTAGCCAGAAGCCCCACGCCTCGATTCATGGTCTCGCAGTCTCCGTCGGCTTCAAAACAAAGGCCGCGGAACGTTACCCACACAAGCTTTGCCATGTCTTCCTCTCTTGTCGATCAGGCCCACGGGTGCATTAAAACGCGTCGGCTCGATCCCCTCGTCCTGCCTTCGATGGCGGTCTGAGCAGCCGTGTTGAGGCTGTCAGTGCAATCGCTCCCCCCTGCAGTAAAGAATCTGCTCGGGAGGAGCAATTGGAAAGTTTGGCAAAGTTGCGTGTGTCGAGCCCTCGTCTCAGGCCCGTGTCTTTGTGCCGTGTCCGCCCCGCGCGGGCGCGGCCTGCTCCTGTCCGGGGCGGGCGCTGCCTTGTCTAAGTTTGCTGCGCCCACCACTGGCGCGCAGAAAAAAGAGAAAAGCAACATGGCTTCGGCAGCGAGGGCAGAGGGCATGCTTTTTACTTTTTTGTTGATTGCCGCCAGCCGGCCAGCCGCGAGAGAGAGAGAGAGAGGTCGCAATTCCGTTGCCGCTTAGGCCTTTTAGTTTCGCGCTCCCAGCCTCTCCCGCCCCCGCGCGCGCGTCGAGCCCTCGTGTCTGGCCCGTGTCTTTGTGCCGTTTCCGTCTCGCGCGGGCGCGACCTGATCTTGTCCAGGACCGGCGCTGCCTTTCCTGAGTTCGTTGCGCCCACCACCGGCGCGCAGGAAAAGAAAAGAGCAACCTGGCCTCAGCAGCGGGGGCTGACGGCATCCTCCTCCTCCTCCTCCCCCTTTTGTTCCTCCTCCTTCTCTCCTCCTCCTCCTCCTCCTCCTCCTCCTTTTCCTCCTCCTTTTCCTCCTCCTCCTCCTCTTCCTTCTCCTCCTCCTCCTCCTCGCCTCCTCCTCCGCCTCCCCCTCCTCCTCCTCCTCCTCCTC